AGGAAGGAAAAGGAGAGTAGGAGAAGGAAGGAAATGAAAAGGAAGGAAGAAGGGGAAAGTGGGAGAAGGAAGGGAAGGAAGATGAAAAGGAAGGAAGAAGGAAAGTAGAAGAAGGGACGGGAAGGAAGGGGAAAGTAAGACAAAGAAGGAAGATGAAAAGAGGAAGGAAGACGGAAAGCAGGAGAAGGAAGGAAGAAGGGATAGAAAGGGAAAGAAAGAAGGAAGGGAGAAACCAAGAAAAGGCAATGAGGGAAGGAAGGAGAGGGAGGGAGAAAAGGAAGGAAAAAGGAAAGAGGGAGGAGGGAAGAAAAGGAAGGGAGGGAGAGCAACGGATTAAAGAAAAGAAGAGGGAAAGGAAAGAAAAATAAAGCGATGGCTTCCAGACATCTTAACATCAATTCCATTTATATTTCACACACACGTCCCTTTCTCAAGCTTCAACATAATTTCCTTTTTTTCTTGTTTAAGCCTCCAAGCCATACATACATCCTAAATTCATTTCCCCCTTCAGCAAAAAAAACTCCAGAAGGGGCTTCCGGTCACTCATAAATGTAATTATTGTCCTTTCTTTCATCAAGCAAATCCACTTTGCCATCCTTAATAACGCTCTCATCTTCCTTGCTCCTTTCTCCATTGTGCTTATTCCACAGACTGGAGTTGGAAGCTGAGCGTTTCTCTTTTTTTTTTTCCCCGCTTCGTTTCTCCACCTTTGCCAATTTTCCTCAGCGCCAAAAATCAAATTAATAGATTTATATGAGGGTTGCAAAAAAAAAAAAAAAGGCACCAAAATGAGACTGGCTTTAATGTAGTGCGAGCTGCACTTCTAAACCCTGAATATGTTCACAATTTATAATTCACCCGTTTGGCCTCCGCAACAAACCAACATAAATAAGTGTGACTTTAAAAACCACAGTAGGTAATTTTGTTATGTTTTCTTACTGGGTTTGTTTATCCCTTCTAGAAATACGTTTTTTTAAACTTAACAAAGATGTTTTTTTATTCCTTGTAGCTAATCTATGGAAAAAAAAAAAAACGCCCAAGAGAGTTGTCAACGTCGTAAAAATTTGGAACGTACCCAAAGTTGCGGGGAGAAAAAATAGACTTGAAAATTTATTTTATGGACAGGGCTCAAAATTAATCCGGACTGTTTCCTCCAAACTCGTTTTAATTCATAGAAGGCCAAGTTAAAAAAAAAATGCAAATAATTTCTGGCTACACACCCTCTTGCTTGAAATTGGCTGCGTTCCTGGATCTGGACGGACGTTATCGGTGGCGAGATTTGTTAGTCGTGCATTGCCTACAAGAAAACAACTAAGCTCAGAGAACCCCCAAGGATCCCACTATCCTCCTCCTTCTCCCTTCTAGCGCTGATAATGTTGCCTAGCTGGGTCGTGAAACGTCTGCAAGAAAACGACCAAACTCAGAGAGCACCCGGGACCCCACAGTCATCCTCCTCCTCCTCTCCACAACCCGCTCCCCCTCCTAGCACTGATAATGTTACCTAGTTGGAGTGATGAGAAGGTTAATGGTAATAGTAGTGCAGACTTTGTAAATAGTTGGACAGTGTTGAGGGAATTAGTTGTTTAGCAGAGTGATGGCGTTTGCGGGGGGGGAACTATCCTCGTGTCGAGTTGTTCTGGTGTGCGATGCTCTGTAGCGCTAGACTAGCCATACCCAGATCCTGCAACCGTTCTTCCTATATTTTATCCTCCGGGCCTTTTAAATCCTCTTTGTTGCTCTTCTCTGCCCTTTTTCCAAAGTCTCAACCTCTTGTTTTGTAACGCGGGGACCGAAACTGGACGCGGCATCCCTTATTCAGAAATGGAGGAGTTTTAAGAGTACTTTCCTGTGAGTTTGGCTTTATAACCAGCCTCTGGTTTTGACGATCGTCTGCCGAGCTGCAGCGTTTTGCCCCGCTTCCATCTTGTATCCTTTCCAGAGGTTGACGAGTGCCAAACTCACAACGGGGGCTGCCAGCACAGATGTGTCAACACCCCGGGGAGCTATCACTGCGAGTGCAAGCCGAGCTTTCGTCTGCACGCGGACGGCAGGACGTGTCTCCGTGAGTTTGGCAGGGTTGGGAGCATCCTTTGCAAGGGCTGATGGGAAAATCCCCGGGGGGGGGGGGGGGGGGGGGAGGAATTGGGGGCCGCTTCGTTGCGTATGGAAATGTCTTCATTCTTTTCTTTAATTCCCCTTTATGTTTTTTTTTATGTTTTTATTTTATTTTTTTACAAACATATCAATGCGTGAACAGTGTGGCATCTGAGTGTCATACGTTTTGATACAAATAAAATAGTATTAATCACATTTGTCCCATTGAACAAGCTTATATAATTCTAGTAATAACACACATATTTGTATTAAGTTAATCATTTTTCATTATTTAGTGATTCAATATTTCAATATTGAAATAAAAGCTACAGTCCCAAATCAAGGTATTCAGTGTAGATCAGCCAGGCAAGATCCTTTTTTAAAAAAATAGCCTTTTTAAAAGATCTGTTCAGGAGTGGAAAGTTTGCTGCTCTTTTTTCCTGCCATTTTGGGGTTCCCCCTTTAATGCATCGCCTTTTGGGGTGCCCAGTAAATCCTAATTTCTTTTTCTGCCCTCCCTCCAGAGCTTTTCGGCTTCAATTCTCAAAAGTTTCTGGGTTGTTTTTTTTTTAATCTCTTGCCAAGCCAGAACTTCTGGTCCTCATTATCTGTCCCAGGCTGGAATTTCCTTAGCAGCGTGGTCAATGCAAACAAAATGCAAACATTTTGGCCGACGTAGTTTGGAAAAAAAAAACCCATTGAGGTTCAGATGGGGTGAGCATTTCTTTTCTTTCTTTTTTTTTGGGGGGGGGTGGTAGTGGCAGGGACAAATTATTCACTTGGAAAGCTACAAAATTTCAGGAGGCGCCCAGAAAAAATATTTTCCTTCCCCTGAAGAGAGAGAGAGAGAGAGAGAAAGAAAGAGAAAAAAGAGAGAAGGAGGGAAGGAAAGAAGGGAAAGAAGAAAGGAAAAGAAGGAAGGAAAGAAAGAAAGGAAGGAGGGAAGGAAGAAAGAATAGGAAAAAGGGAAGGGAAGGAGAGAGGGAGAGAAGGAAGGAAGAAGGGACAAAAAAAGGGAGGGCAGGGAGGAAAGGAAGGAAGGAAGGAAGGAAGGAAGGAAGGAAGGAAGGAAGGAAG